CCATTTATTTTTCCAATTATATATATGTGTGTATATATATACTGTACGTATGTATGTATGTGTATACACCTTAGTATATATGTAGTTATGTATGTTTGTGTATGTATAATGTATGAAGGTATTTAGGTAATAGATCACATAAAGCAAAAAAGAAATATATTTTTTTATATTTAACTAACATTCCTTGCCTTTCATTTCAATATCATTACATTGTTATTCATATTTAAATACATATGTATGTAGTGTATGCATATTTTTACACATTTGTATATTTAATATTGTATGCTAAGGATAATGCTTTACATAAAAATATTAATATTATAATCGTGATTAGTTATTGTATTGTTGATATTTTGTTTGCTTTGTATAGTACAATATATTGACAATTATTACTATAATAATTTTACATAGTATACATATATGTTTTACGAACAAAACACAGCAGTCTTATATAAGATGAAATATTTTTTCTTCAATGTTTTCACTTTTTATTGTTTTTTTTTTCTTTTATTTATTTTTATTTTTTTTAATTTTTATTTCATTTAAAATTTTTTTACGGTGTAATTTTTTTTAAATATTTTTTACAATTACATATATACATACATATGTATGTATGTATGTACATATGTATTTACATATATGAATAAAACTGAACTAAGTTTTTTTAATTGTTAGTCCTACTTGGGTTGGTGGTTAAGAGATAGCAATTTCTGTGTATATTTTATATACCGCTTGTTAAAATCAAATGAAGAGTGTTCTTCAAATTAAAAGAAAATTACATAGAATTGAGAATCCCAGAAGATAATTAAGGTAGGCCTTCTTAAAGCATATTCACATCATCGTAATTTACGGCTCATTTGTAATTTATAAGCAAATCATGCTGAAATCAAGTAATTTCGCTTTGTAAAATCTGTCAATAAATTAACCGCCCTATTCTGTGTTTTCTTTATATATATTTTTTTGTAAAGAAATTTTATCAAATTTCAATTTGTCAAAGGCATTTTAAAACTTGTTAATTTGTCAAGAAAATAACTTTTATTTCTGTGCTAGAATACAAATTCTTGATGAATAATAAAAAATTGACAAATTATAAAGATTTTCAATTTATCAAGTGCATAGAATCGGGCTGTAAATAGAAATGAAATAATTTATCATAAATCAAGAAGCAATTGAAGGAAAAACGGTCATTCATTTATTTTAACCTCCACTGTTGAAGAAATTTGAAAACATACCTTAAGGTATGCAACCATTTGTTTTTTGAAATCAAGTACAAACTACACACTCGTACGTACACGTGCTATAGAAATTTTGAATGAAAATGTGAACTTACTTGATTTAGGTGAAGTAATTTGACCAAATCAAAGTAATTTATGCTGTAATGTGAATATAGTTTAAGTGAAGCGATTCTAAAAGTTTACCCAAGAAAAAAGTGCTTCCTTGCAAGCCTTATTGAAGGTTTTTTTTTTTTATTTACAATTTACGCGAATGTGGAAGTTAATATTATTTATAATTACTAATGAATTTAACATATTCATTTTAAGTTGCAATAAAACATATTTGATAAATTTAAATAAATACCTTGAAGAAGTATGATTTTTTATGAATTAAAGAAGCAGCTTTGAAGGAACTCCTCGAAATTGCCTTCTATGGGTAGCAAAAGCAGAAGACCTTCAATTTGTGCCACTCCGTACATAAAAGAAAGGAGAAAGAAACGCAGAGTGGAGGGCCTCGCGACACTCAAGAAATCCTTTTGCAAGGGTTTTTTAGCTCCTGAAACTATCTGCTGGGATTGCAAACGGGAGTTGGTTTAGGTAACGATTTAATAAATTCTACTTTCGACAGCAGAAACATCAAATACACATATTTTCTAAAACCAAATAAGATAAAGAAATCGTTACAACAAAACTAATGTCAAGCTTTTTTTAATCGCTCTATTCGACCATATTATGAATTCCATGTGGAAAAATATTACCAAAAATTATAAAGCAAAACAAAAAAAAATGTCCAATTTGTTTTTGTTTTGCCTGTTAAACTATGGTAACGATTTATTCACATGGGTTTGGCGATTAGGCTGATTATTAGATACAAATATTACAAACCTTTTGAATTAGGTTCTTTTTTTAGAGCTTTATGCTTTATGTATTCATATGTATGTATTTTTACGTAGTACAATAATTGGAACCTTGAACACACTCATACTAGTAGGCATAGAAAAGCGATATTCTTTAGCTGTATGGGTTAAGACTTTATTTCACAATTCAATTATTATTATTTATTTTTTATTTTTTGATAATCATACTTTCTATGTAAACCATTTTATTATTTTTAACATTCAATTTTAACTTCTTAATACATGCACAAAAGTGAACAGAGCGTATAACTTCTTAATGAATTGTACATAGACGCATTGTAAAGGCGACGACCATTAACAAAAATCATGAAAAGAAAACGCCGCGCTCCTTACCAAGTAGGCATTCGCTTGTTTATTTTTATTTCTTACTTCAAGGGTTTCTTTTAAAGAAAAAATACATAGTTACTAGATACATACATATTTTATTAATTTCAATCATTTGACATCATATCTTCAAACTAATCGGCAAATTAACGCACCTAATATTTCACTATTTACCAACTACGCTAACCATTATGTACAAAAATAATTATAAATACGATTTCTAAACCATAAATTAGTTATAATTTGCCTATAAGAATAGTGACTAGTTAAAGAGAATAAACAAATTTTCATATGCATATGTAGCATATACAAATAGCGTTACATTTTGCTACAGAAAAAGTTAAAATCAAATGATTTGACAGGCTAAAAAGGGCTGTTTTAACAGTGTAGAGTGTAATCATATTCAGAAGTTAATTGTTGATTAACTCCCGAATATGAGACAACTCTCTACTGTGAAAATGGCCATAAACTATTGTATTTAAGAGCGAGTGTGTTAAGAGACAGTAGTAAGACTGAGAGGTAAGGATATGAAAAACTGGCGGCAGCTAGTTCGCGTGGAAAGAAATGCAAATTTGGCCTTAAAGCTTACTTTTACATACATTTGCATGTGTGTATGTAATTTTTTTTATCGAGATTTTTAGTATAAATAATTTTCCTAATTTTTATTACAAGTGCCTTTGCGTAACATTACGAATGCTATTATATTTTTTTTTTATACATACATATATATTCATGTAAATGGGTAAGTATGAGTTTAGGATAATGCTTGTATTCCTTTGAGATAGTTTTTGGTACAGCGAGTTTTGTTAGTTACGATAATTTTTATTTTTTATTTTTTTTTTATATACCTTATTAGCTTTTGGTAGAGACTTATTTAAGTGCATCGAGTACGCAGCCAAAAGCAATGAAATCAATGTGCACTGCCAATACTTAGTCTGATAACCCAAATTCAATTACGAAATTATTTCGAAAATTAATGCTTGCTCGATTACATACATATGTCCATGTATCGCTAGCTTAGAGTGAAAAGTTGCTAAGTCCCAATTTAAAAATTTTACAGGAGGAAAAAAATTTGTATGGCCATTTTCTTCAAGTACTATTGCGCAAAACTTTGAATACAACATTTTTAAAGCAAAGCAAAACTCCATACAAATCAGAGGGATTCGATCTTTATTAAAAGATTTCGTTCTATTTTGGCCTCATGGAATTATCGGAGCTTCTTTTGGACTTAGAAAATTGTCCTTTCATTGAATATAAACGAAAAAAACATAAAACAAGTATGGATCATACTCCTTTTCGAAACGTTGTATTTTTATTTATCTAGCCTCCTGTATTAAAACATGAGTTTTCATAAAAAGTGGACTTAGCAACTTTTAACTCAGCTAGCGACATGAAATTCTTAAATTTGCACTCGCTGTAAATATTGTATAAAAGTATTTTAAAATACTTTTCCCTCCCAAAAAGATTCAAAAAGTTTACGCTGCAAATACAAACAGCAAAATACAAAAGAGTAATTTTGTTGATAAATTTAGGCATTTATAGGCAGTATGTTTTACCCCAGCTGACCAACACACGAGCCTTTAGCGAGTCTGGCTAAATGTCCGCACACAAGCTCGCATGTGAGCAGAAAACCGTTGAAAACTTTTTTGATTGTAAAACCCGGCGCAGGCGGTATGATTTGCGAACATTTGGTCTGCTGAGACATTGGATACCAAAAATTAAAGACAGTTTAGTTTTGTATAAGAATGTAAAAGTCATTCCGTTATGTTAGTTGCTGATAGTACACATACTTAAGAATTTGTTTTCGCTATTATACTTAATTATACTACATGCACAGGTTAAAAAAGGACGATTTTGTAACGATTGTTGCAATGGAATTATTAGTCGCCTAAAAGTAATTACAGAAACCAAACGTTTGACAAAAGTCTCGCCACAGAAAAATAAACAAAGTTTTGATTTATAAATCGTATTATTTTCATATTGCAGTTTCTGTATTACATCAGAGGCCTTGCGGCCCCTTTTTTTATTTAAATCCAATTATGTAAATAAATGTTTGACAAAATCTCGTATTTAAAGCAAAAAATGTGTACAATGAATTCAATGCGATGAAATTACGAAAAAGAATAATCGTGAAATATGATTTAAATTTAAACAAAAAAGCTTTAACTAATACAAAAAATATGCAGATTATCGTATAGCTCAAAACGACACTGAAAAATATTAAGCTTTACCTCGCAATTATGAGGAGTGTCATAGCATCTCAACTAACCGCCCAATTTGCACCCACCATTTATCTTCAGCTTTTACCCCAGCCTTCAATTCTCTCTCGTGCATTGTTGTTTATTTAATTATTATACTTTTTGAATTTAATTTCTTTGTTTGTTGCACTCGCCGCTTTGCCTTTCTGTAGTCTTCGTCATCTTCGTCACAGCCAAATATTTAACGTATTATTTATATATGTATATAGGACATATATAAATACGTGGATATTGCACGCAGCTCCGCAACTTCACCACTTTGAAGCTGGTCGTCTCATTGAAAGCGTTCAATTTATTGTCTTCTGATAAATCGTGTTCTTATTATAGTTTTCACTTAATTGCTGTTGTATGGAACACAAGTCATCGATACCGACAGTAGCGTTGGCTGTTGAGTCGCTGCTAGAGTGATTGCCCATCAAATTATCGGTACCAGCTTCATTAGCAACCGCATTGGCATTGTTGCCATTATTGTTGTTACTGTCATTGGTAGTCGCATTGCAATTGTCAGACGATTGTTTATTGTTGCTACTACCATTGATATTATTATTTGATTTGTGGGCGCTACTATGGTTGGCACGCAGGTTTGCCAAAAATTTCTCTTTGAAAGTATTGGCCGAGTACTTGTGTTCGATGAATGTGGGTGAAATGATGGGCGGGTGGTTGAATATAGGCGGATTAGTATAGTTATTGCCGCCACTTGAAGTATTCAATGAAGTGCCATTGACGCTGACAGCCACGGTAGAAACAGGAGGAACACCGATAACTGCAGCAGGAGGGCGATTGTTGGTCGCTGCTAGTACTGCATTGGTATGAGAATAGATGCTGATGTTGGCGTTGGCGATTGACGAAGCTGCAGTGAGCAGATGCCCGTTCAAGGGCATGCAGGCGGTAGTTGTTGCATTTATTTGTTCTGGAAACAGCAAAAGAGAGCAGAAAAAGAAAAGAAATAAAAGTGAACCAAAACAAAACGGAAATAGGAAAAGGATAGACTAAACTTAAAAGAATTCTAATTGTAAAAGAATTTTATAGTAAATCAATTTGTAGAATATTATATTTAACTATAAAAGGAAGTGTTAAATGCTTGTTTCTACCGTTTCATAACTTGATTTGACATATTAAACTTAAAACTTTTTTATCGATAAATCTTGGATGAAACTGTAAATATTATCACAGTACTTGTCTTTGACTGAGATTGATTTTCAGTCAGATACTATCACGTCAGGAGTATTTTTTCAAAATTCTAAAACTGTTACAAATAACTTGGAACTGATTTTGGAGTCGATCAATTGATGCACTGTTTTTTATACCACATGTCAGTGAGCGTATTTTCACTGAAAACATAAACCAAGGAATCAGAAATATGTAATGAAAACAAGCGCCAAAAGCATTTTACCATTATTAATACAATAAAGAAGTTTCATAAAATATATTTTTTAATTAATAAAAAAATAAATGAGGTAGTAGTCGAATAAGTAAATTAAAATATATTTATTCAAAATGAATAAGTTTATGCAGTTTAAATTTCCCCTACTCGTGAATTTTAACGAAAATGGAAAAAAGTGAATTTGTACTGATTGAGCATAATTTTTTCCGTAAAAAAAACCATCCCCGAAACCAAGGAAAGGGTTGATAAATACTATGGGGAGTTTGCACTTTCAATATAAATGGTTAAACATTGATTTACTGAGTTCCGTTGTGGTGGTACCAGCTCGAGTGGCGCCGAACGTTAAGGTCGCCCAAAAGAGATCTCCGGGTGAACGTGCTCACAAGGTTTTGGCCACAGTTTGTTGGAATGTACGTGGCGTCATATACATCGATAACCTTGAAAAGCATAAAAGGGTACACCGGCGAATACTACTCAGAGCTTTTGCGCAGATTCAATTACTGACTTGAAGCAGAAGCGACAGCATTTGGCGAAGAAAAAACTACTGTTAGATCAAGACAATGCACGGGTGCACAAGTGTGTAGTCACCATGTAAAAAATTCATAAATTGGGCTACGAACTGTTTCCCAACCTGAAAAAAATGTCTGGACGGTAAGAGATTTGGATCGAATGAAGAGCTCATCACTGAATCAAAACGCTTAATTTGAGGGCCTTCATATTGACGGATTCAAAAAAATAAAAAATAAAAACGGTGAAATAAAACGATTTTTCGCCGCAATATATATATTTTTTATTCAAAAAACTACAGACTATTCAAATACGGTTAATATTAAAAAAAAAAAAATTCGACATTCACTGAACATAGAGTTCGATCAGGTGGGCGTTCAACATCTAAAAATACTTTTTTTTTTTTCAATAGCAAACGAATGTATATTTTTCATACACGCGAGGCTGCCGCGAACGGCGTAATCGACTCGTCGACATTGCAGTCGAGGGTGTCAACGGCAGATAATTTTGAGGTGGTATCGGGCATAAACTTAACGAGAGGGAAACGTTTAAAAAAGAAAATGAGGCGAAAGATAGTTTTTTGAAATATAAAGCAAAAAACATTGACAGAAGTGTTAATATAAGTGGAGCCTCTGAGGTTAGAAAAAAAAACCGTAAAAGCACATGAGAAAAACATGGATAATGAGGAAAGTACCGTCAATAAAATGGCAGAAGAGTAAGTGAGACAATGGATAGCGCGACAGTTAACGGTACAAATAAAAGTACAGCAGCACATTGAACAGTGACGGACAGAGTTGTATAGACACCCACAAAATATTCTTGGTGATGTCTTTGTTTTAATTGATGCAAGAAATTGCGAAGGATAACAGAACCAATAGTGGTAAATCACTATAAGATCAAATCAAAACCCTATAGATTTAAAGATATGGACCGAATTAACGGGTGATTTTTTAAGAGCTTGATACCTTTTTTTTTAAAAAAAAACGCATAAAATTTGCAAAATCTCATCGGTTCTTTATTTGAAACGTTAGATTGGTCCATGACATTTACTTTTTGAAGATAATTTCATTTAAATGTTGACCGCGGCTGCGTCTTAGGTGGTCCATTCGGAAAGTCCAATTTTGGGCAACTTTTTCGAGCATTTCGGCCGGAATAGCCCGAATTTCTTCGGAAATGTTGTCTTCCAAAGCTGGAATAGTTGCTGGCTTATTTCTGTAGACTTTAGACTTGACGTAGCCCCACAAAAAATAGTCTAAAGGCGTCAAATCGCATGATCTTGGTGGCCAACTTACCGGTCCATTTCTTGAGATGAATTGTTCTCCGAAGTTTTCCCTCAAAATGGCCATAGAATCGCGAGCTGTGTGGCATGTAGCGCCATCTTGTTGAAACCACATGTCAACCAAGTTCAGTTCTTCCATTTTTGGCAACAAAAAGTTTGTTAGCATCGAACGATAGCGATCGCCATTCACCGTAACGTTGCGTCCAACAGCATCTTTGAAAAAATACGGTCCAATGATTCCACCAGCGTACAAACCACACCAAACAGTGCATTTTTCGGGATGCATGGGCAGTTCTTGAACGGCTTCTGGTTGCTCTTCACTCCAAATGCGGCAATTTTGCTTATTTACGAAGCCATTCAACCAGAAATGAGCCTCATCGCTGAACAAAATTTGTCGATAAAAAAGCGGATTTTCTGCCAACTGATTTTGGTAATAAAATTCAATGATTTGCAAGCGTTGCTCGTTAGTAAGTCTATTCATGATGAAATGTCAAAGCATACTGAGCATCTTTCTCTTTGACACCATGTCTGAAATCCCACGTGATCTGTCAAATACTAATGCATGAAAATCCTAACCTCAAAAAAATCACCCGTTACAAAGATAGACCATACCCTTTATAAAGTAGCATTAAATGCGCTTTTGTCGCAAACAATGTCTTGTTAAATGATCAACTGAAACAAACGGGTCTAAGAGCCTTCATTTCAAGGACGGCTTTTGAAACTTATGGTGTTATCAGGGGCGTTCATGTTGTCAGCATTTCTACATGGGTTAGTGTAAACCAACATGTTTACTGCTAGTATTAAGTCATGTTTGCTGTAAGCACTAATGTAAATAGCTCTTAAGTTTATACGAAATTAGTATTTAAGAGAAGGTCAGAGTCTGTTCAGACCATAAGGATTGTTCTTAGCAAATATAAGAGAAGTTGAGTTTTATTTGATACCACTAAAATCTGATAAATTACATCAGAAGTGGTCTGCAAAACCATTGCATAGATAAAAAATGGAAAGTAAAAACATAAGCGCTGAGAGTTATTCACTGTTGCAGCTGAAGACCTGGTGCACGGCCGTTGGCACAAGCCAATTTTAAGAACAATAACACAAATGATGGTGGGAATAACGGTGCAAACAACGACAGAATTTTAAGAAGCAACAATATTATTGACGACGACAACGATGGAGTGTGTTTTCGAAGCGGCATGGTTTGGTACGTAAGCGGCACTTTAGGGCGTCGTCCAGTAAGGCACGCCGAAGACAGCGATAGCGGGAGTTGTACTTAAGCAGAACAATTATCCGTTACCCGCTGAAAAAAGAAATGGAGCTCCTTAAGCGACAAAAGGCTCTGCTTGAAAAAGATAAGCAAATGGCGGGTACACACGAAGAAAGCTTGAACGCAGTCTTAGGTTCCAAAGTCGAATGTGGGTGCCGGAAGAAAATTTCACAAATTATTATAATGACAAGTTCGCCCTAAGAGCGGATTTGAACATAAGCTATGAAGAATTCGCCGACTACCTCGCTGAAGGAACTCCAGACAAGCAACTCCGGAATGAAGAAAGATCGCACAATTTTATGTTACCAAACGAATTTGTGAAAGCATTCTGCTCATATTACATTGCCGGAACGCACAGCATTAAAGCAACGCACCGATGAACGTCTAAGGTGCTACAAATTTAATTGTTCAGGCCACCATTCCAAAGACTGCAGAAAGCCAAAGAAGTATGACCAGTCGTAACAAATAACTAGGTAATATAGCGTAGAATCAGGAGAGTAAGCATTTTAATGTATATAGTACTTAGGCAATCATGTTTATTGCGATGGTCAGAGCCTGTTTAGACCATAAGGATTGCTCTTAGCAGACATACTCTGTCTACACCCTTTGGAGTGTGTTCAGTCAAAAATGCAATGCAATGTAGGTACATAAGGGCTATTCGCGATCCGGTGCAAATGGCCTAGCATCATTGCATTGCAAATTTGTATTGCAAATTATTTGCAATACACAAACAAAATACACGCATTTGCATTTGTCATGGCTTGGCAAATTTGCAATACCGAAAATCCATAGCATAAATATGCTATGCATTGCATTCATAAACAAAACCAAAGCTGATGCACAAAAAGTGTTTTGCAAAAGCTTTACCATGACAGTTTAATAAAGGTCGCTCACAATCCATGGCATATTTCTGCAATTGCATAAATTTGTCAGCTCTTATGCACCGAATCGCGAATAGCCCTATAGTTTTTTGTGTATACTAAACTAAAAGTAGAGTTCTATATTCCACCTCTTAGACAATGCCGTCTAGCTCATACACAATTTTCTTGTAAAAAAATGTGGGAACACTGAATGTGATGCAATGCAATGCCACCAAAAATGTATTTTTTGTTATAGCGCTGTTTATGTGTTATCCGATAGGAGAAGGAACAGGAAGTCAACCACATCAGGGTTGCCAAAAGGAGTTCAAGACGCGAAACTTTAAAAACGTATTTTCCAGAAAACTCAAACAGATTTGACCTGCTGACTATGGAGGATGCCGACTTTGGCCCACTAATGACCACTGGTGACCCTTTTAGAGATACAGTACCACCGCTAAAAAGTTGTACTCCGATGCCAATCAGGCCAGGAATGTTCGAAGTCGGCCAGTTTCACCAAGAAAACTACTAACGTATCACAGTCTGTTTTAGGTAAGCCCGCATACCTGAAGGGGAAGGTATCTGAGCTAGAAAAACTGATAACAGAACTGTTTAAGGATTTACATAAATCAGGCAACTAAAGATACTACCTTAACGAACTTTTGTCAATCATTAAAGGCCAACATCAACTCCATTGAATGCTACATAAACCACAACCGCAGCATAGGAATATAATTAATTTTAATATACCTTTTTTTCTTATTATTACGTACTAATAGTTCGTACTTGCACCTTGAAAACAAATTTAACAATTTGGGGCACGCTTTTTCCGCCAAATATTCAAACGAATCCTTTCAACGCTGAGAATGAGAGTCCTCACGTAAAAGATCTCGATTTGAAGATTTAAGACTTTATTTACGCTTTAGAAAGGTCACTATACAAAGTCACCTTCAAAAATACGTATGCTGCAAACAATTTTTTAACTGACAACGCGACTTTCTTGCAAAGGCAAGCTAAGCTGCAGGATTTGCGGTAATGCAAAGTATAAACGCTCTACTTGCAGTGTACAAACAGGCTTGGATATACAGCCAAGGATAAAAACGGCTGCCCTTAGTGGGTAAAAAAGGAAAATGTCAATAGAATTAAAACTATTAAAAAGGTGTCTAGAAATTACGTACTGGACAAGTACTACCCTAAAAACACTATTAGATTTGAAATCGTTAGACGATGAGGGGTCAACTTCCACGGACTTAACAACAATAACGTGGATGTAATGAATACAAATATAAATAAAAAATATGACAAAAAAAAATCTTCCAATTTTGTAGCTAAAACGCGCTGCAAAATTAGTAAAACCAGCAGCCAAAGAATTTGCAATACGCTTTGCAGTAGTCAGCGGCGTTTTCAATTCCCCGAAATACCAAAATAGTTTCATATCCGAAATGGAACGTTTAATATCAGAGATGATTAGAATAACTCAAAAATCAATAGCACGCTGACCACGAGTAGTCACTACAAAAGCATAGTTGAAACAGCCTCCGGCAACGGCGCAGCAAGGGAAGGTGTAGGTAGGTCTAGCATTAATAAAAATACTTTGTAATTTTCCGTTATAATTAAGAACACAATAAAAGAGCACGGGTCCCCAAAGCATATATATTTTTTTTAACTTCTAAGCAGTGTAAGTTGTAACTGGCACCCGAGCAGGGATCAACGCGAGTTAAGGAACGTTTTCATTATCCCAGTGACGTACTAAAAACATCAAAACATCTTTATCAGTAGCAAACAAAACAACAACTAACATCAAAACATCTTCATCAAAGCAAAAAAAAAAGGTATCAAAGCAATATGCATGTACTCGGTATAAATAGTAGTAAGTGAAAAATAGGTAAGCAGTTAAAATTTCCTATCAATAATGAAGGCACACTAGTGCTAGTGAAAAAATATATTTTTTCCCCCCCCCAAGATAGTGAAGTTCAGTGATGAAAAAGGATAGTGAAATAGTGGATAACACTTTAAACAATATTGACAACAGATACTGAAAGAACGGACAACACCGAGTACTGCAAAAATTAACAGATCCTGAAACATTGGACAGTTTATTTACCAGTAAGGTTTTTATTATAAAAGAAGGGAAACCTGGATTCATCACGAAGCCTGCGGACTTCAATAAAACAAAAGCTTTCGACAATAATAGAAGAATAATTAAAACAGAGGAGTCCAAAAAGCAACAGCAAATGGCCCTACTCCATGCACGGGCCGTCCTGCATTCAAACAAAGTGCGGTCTAACAGGCACTCCCGTAACTCTATTAGTGGACACAGGATCTACTAATAATTATATAAACAGACTGTTGGCAACACTAGCATAGAAGTAAGTGGAATGTAACAATAATAAGACATCATACTGTGAGATCGCTACAGCATCAGGTGAATAAAATCAAAAGTATTAATTGAGACGCATATATTTTAAAATTATTGGAATCGACAATGGCAGCCAGGCAACAAATAGCCGAAGCCCTTTAGGACTAAGGAGTCTCGTTCCCAGAAACGGCAAGCCTAAGACAACTAAAAGCGTTGCTTACTTCGACCATAGGTGCCCCACTGGAAAAAAAACGGTGAACCGACTAACAGAACCTTAAGAAGCACCGTTACCAAAACGCCTTCAGTAGCGGCGAACGATAACGCAATTTCGGGTACAGCAGCAACCAACGACGTAACTTCTGGTACTTCAGCAAATGATGGCGCTGCAGCAGTAACAGAAACTACAGGAAACAACGTCATTTCAGCAAATTTAGAAACACGCTTCCGAAGAAGCCCCAGGCGCCTCGCAGCAGAGAATAGCGGCAGCGCCCTAAATACGGTGAGCTGGTCGAGTTCATCGTGGGAGAATAATACATAAAGATAGCATACGAAAGCAAGAAATAAAGACAGGACTCAACAAACTAATCGAAAATGTTGATATTTTCGGACCATTGGTAGAAAAAAAAATAAAATTCTTCTAATTACCAACTCTAAAGCCATACTACGGTATAGACACGCTCCAGCAATTAAAAGCATACATACAGATACAAATTTTATGACGATTTGCCAAATATGACTATTCCGCTAAAGCAACGGATATCTCTGGAAGTTTATAATGACGGAATTAATATTCCACACTTTTATCTAGAACAGCAAAATATAGTAAACAGCATTATTAGCAAATGCCCAAACCTATTTGCCGATCCCGACGAAAAGTTCACATACACTACTCTTGTAAAAGGTGAGATCCGGAAAACCACCGAAACCCCTACTACTACTATAAACCATACCCATATCCAATGGCTCTAAAAGAAGAAATCGAACGCCAGGTCGAGGAACTTCTTACTAACGGAGTAATAAGGATATCGAAAATGGATGCTACCGCTGAAAAGAAGTATCGAATGGTTATCGACTACCGCAAACTCAATTCGATTACAATTCCCGATAAGTACCCTAAATGCGAGATTAACGAGGTTCTTGCAAATCTCCGAAATAAAAAATTATCTACTGTCATTGACCTAAACAGTGGTTTTCACCAGATACCACTTCGCGAGTCTGATATAGAAAATACAGCATTTTCCGCAAACAATGGAAAATATAAATTTCTCCGATAGCCTTTCATACTTAAGAATGCTCCTTCCACTATTGCAACTATCTCTCAGTGAACTGATCGTTCGACAACGATAATGAGTAAACAGAACAATGGTAAACAATTGGGGACCAATAAGCTAGGTTTAGGTTAAGAAAGAAAAATTGTACTAAGTTTAGTTGATAAGTTGAACTCAAGTAAGCCGCAACGAAAGAGCGGACCAAATGAATGATACGAAAACATATAATTTGCGTTTTTGTAATCGACGCCCTGACATGGGCCATAATTGAAAGTCACTAAAGCACGAATTGCTTTAGGCAGCGGTAAGAAAGAGGATACCTGGATACCTTCTTATATCTCCTCAGCATCAGTACTGGACGTCAGAACCTTTGCTGACAGGACATAAGAAATCTTGAAGAAGCGCCACCACACACCACCAGTTTACCGATGATTGGTTTGTAGAAATGTTAGCTTATCTCCTGTGTCGTATAACGGGATTATACTTCATTTTGATCACAACATCATAGCAAAGTGTGAAAATAGAGTATTTGCTTTTGGAGACTGAGATCCTGCGCTGTCACAACAACATTTTGTGTGCTCAACAGTTGCACTCTGGTAGTACTGCGCATTGCAGCTCTCAGCCTAGAAATAATTGACGATGGTGTCATAATCATCAACGATTACACGGTAGTGTTAAGAGAGGGAAACAAAGCCGAAAGGACCATCAGCGGCACGTATTTGATAACTTTTGATGATACGGTCCAGATAAATGCACCGATCCACATCAACCGGAACAACATCATAAAGAAGACACTGGCACCGTGGCTTCATCGCTCTTAAATGTCACTAGCTACTGTTCATAAAATGAACATCGATAATCAACGTTTGCAGCTTCTGTTAGCGCATTTACTTGCTTGTACCTTTATGCCGTAATGGATATCGATTTTTTTAATTTTGTAAAACGACCACATCACTAATGAAATATCAAAAAACTCATTCATGATCTGACAACATCCAACTCCAAGTTGCGGTTAAGAATCCGATTGTCAACTAAAGTTAGCTCAAATTTTGGCTCAATAAAGATAAGACGTGCTCATAGAGCACTAAAAAATATATTTTTTTTATAACTTTACTCGGCAGTAAAGTTAAGTGGCGCCCAACGTCTTGGGTCAGTAAGCGCGGAAATTAATAAAAGTAAATAAAGTTATTTTGGCCAATTGCCTAAAAAGAGCATAGTGCCCTAGTGCGTAAAGGAAAAATAATTTTTTTCTCGGTCAGTTCGCCTTAAGCAGTCGCCGTACTACACGCTAATAACTTTGCTAAAGCGTAAATGAAATAATCGTTTTATCGGTCAGTAAAGAAGCCGCAGAGCTACAAGAACACCCCGTGGAAATTACTGGACCCAAAAGGAACCCAGCCTGTAGTGTCAGTCCGCAGGCAACCTCGTCGATCATCGTCTTCTGTACAGGACCCCCAGTAGCGCAGACGAGCGCAAAAAGGATATCTCCACCACGAGCAGCGAGGAATTAATCATAAGAAAATTGAAAATTTAGTAATAAGGAATTTTGGTGACGAAAAATAGTAATATTTGAAATATTGAAAAAGAAAATTTAAACTTTAATAATAGGAAATCACAGTGACGAAAAGTAATCATAATTGGAATTTGAAAAAAATAATAATTTGAAAAAAAAACAAAGGAAAATATTGTAAAAAAATATATCACAAACAGTGTGGAACAAATATAAATTCGAATTGAAAAATAGGATAACAGTAATAACAAAGCAATAACAGACTGTGAAATCATAACAAAATACAACAAAGTTGAAGCACTCAAGAGATCCTTCAACTTATAACAATACCCTAACTCCGCGACTCCTTATACGGACCCTCCGGAGTAGAAAGGGCCCTCTTCCCCCTGAAGAGGTTACAAAAAAATTTTTCATAATAAAAAAAAAGCGTAGCATAAAGAAATATCGCAAAATGCCAAATAATAATTTGATTAGGCCACCTGTGTTGACAAGTAATCAATCACAACCAAGTAACCAAATTGCAGAGCTCGTAAATAGGTTAGTCGACGCTAGATTAGGACAAAGGGAAAACCCAACAATAGAAGTAGATCAGGCCATTACTTTGACAAACGGAAATAATATAAGTGAACTCGACAAAATTCCCGACGTAGTTAGAAGTCTTCGAGAATTTTCTGTTGAGCCAAGGGAATTCAGCTCTTGGAAGAAGAGCGTAGAGCGAATTATACAAATTTATGAATCTATCTGCGGTACCCCAAAATACTTCGGAATATTAAGCGTAATAAGAAATAAAATTACAGAACAAGCGGACGCAGCATTGGAGTCGTACAATACACCACTAAATTGGAAGTCAATTTCCAAGTGTCTTACGCTCCATTATGCTGATAAGCGAGATCTCGGCACTCTCGAATATCAAATGAACTCACTTCTACAAGGACGGTTTACTACAGAAGAATTTTATCAGAATGTCTACTCACATTTATCGCTTATTTTAAACAAAATATCATGTATGGAAATGAGTCATGCAACACTCTGCATTATGAACCAAACAAATCGAGATAAAGCTCTTGATACTTTCTTTTAGGACAAATTATGCTTATGGAGTAGCAAAAAACGTTCATAATCCTTATCCAAGTAATCCCGCAATTCCCCCTAGGAATCCTAATAACCGCATTAATACCAATACTAAGGGGAGCCCCTATTTTTATCCAGAATTAGCATATCTCCCACAGCTGACAAGAAATCCCAACCCTACTCCAAATTCTGCGTTTGGGTATACCTATAATAACAATCCTAATAATATTAGAAACAACAGTCGCTACACGACTACGTTTATCCTTCCGAAAACCTAGGTGAAAATTACCAAACAGAAAGCGACCTCTTAGAAAGTATTGACTTCACAGACATTAATTTTTTAGAATGAATAACTCTTCATTGCCTTACATCGAATGTAAAACAAGCAGTGGAGAGATAATGAAAATATTAATGGACACTGACTCTAACTAAAATTTTGTAAAGCCCCAGTTTGTGAAGAAACCCATTAGAAATTACAACCCATGTTTCGCAACCTCTATAGGAGGAAATATTTCAATCACCCATCACACTTTTGCAAATGTCTTCGGACTGAAGAACACCACCATCAAATTTTTCTAGCTGCCAACATTAAAATCTTTCCATGCCATTATAGGAAACGATATCCAAAAAAAAAACCGAAGCGATAGTGAACTTTCCTACGCCCCAAACTTTGCAATATCTTCGTGCCTTCTTAGGACTTTCAGGGTATTATCGCCGCTTCATCAAAGATTATGCGAAGCTGGCAAAACCCCTTACAGTCCTTCTAAGAGGGGAAGATGGGCGTAAGCCCAAAAACGTTTCAAAAAAAAAACACATATATCACTGGATGAAAACGCAATCGAAGCCTTTAACAAAATTAAATTATTTCTCACTGCAGAGGAAGTAATGCTCATACATCTCGACTATTCAAAAGAGTTTCAGTTAACAACGGACGCCTCAAACTACGCGATTGGCGCAGTACTCTCGCAAAATGATAAACCCATTGCTTTCATATCCCGAACACTAAGCCAGACAGAAGAACATTACGCCACAAATGAAAAGGAAATGTTGGCGATTATCTGGGCTCTATGTAATTTACGAAACTACCTTTATGGATCGGCTAAGGTTAAAATCTTTACCGATCACCTGCCCCTGACGTACGCGCTTAGTACAAAAAACAACAATAGTAAAATGAAAAGATGGAAAGCCATCTTCAAGGAATACAATTATGAGTTGCATTACAAACCGGGAAAGGCAAATGTGGTCGGCAATACACTCTCACGACCGCCCCAAATAAATTCATTTACAGGTACTATGCATAGCAATGAAAGCTCCGAACATAATTTAATACCGATAACGGAGGCACCTATAAACGCCTTTAAGAATCAAATATTCCTAAATGTCGATGTAATTTCCTCATAAAGGTTCAATATAATTTTCCCAACATATCACAGACATACTGTTACTGAAAATGACTACTCTCAAGAGAAATTAATTGAAATTTTAAAACGATATCTGAATCCGTCAGTCGTAAACGGCTTAAGAACAAAAGAGCACATTCTCGGCAAAATACAGGAAATATACCCTCTACA